CTATGAAGTCAAAGTCTTCAATATTTCCAATTCTATTAGCCATCTTGCTACCACAAAGTCCAGCTCCCGCCGCTGGAGTTTGAAATATAATGTAGCAAAAATGCAACCAAACAAATTTTCACACTGAGATTTACTCTGCAATGACTATGGAATTCTAAAAAAAAAAAAAGACTAAGGAATAATGTTAAGGAAGATATGAAAGAAGAAACCGAATAATTACCTCCAAAAGATGCAGCTATAGCAATCGAACCACCAACAGATCCAACAGCTGTAGCAGCTGCAGCAAATCCACTTGCAACAATGGCAGGCAAAAGGCTTCCCAATGTTGGAGCCACAGTGCTGAGCCCCTGAGCGATTGCAGGTGCAACTACTCCTGCTATATCAGAAGAGAAGTTGAGTAGTGAGAACTGGTACCAACTTCCAAGTCCTTTCAACTTATTTGAGATTTATGATAGTTTTAACCACTATAGTCTACAACTCTACACTCTACAGACACAAGGCATATACCTCCAGATACAGCTAACACTGCTCCCCCAGCCAAAGCAGCTCCACCAATCATGCCACCTTGCTTCCATTTGACCCAAGGATCACTATCATCTCTCTTTTCGACTTCTCCTTTGATTATATCCATCAATGAACAAGCTAATATTATCTCCAATGCTTCCTATGAAAAAGAAGAAGAAGAAGAAAAAAAAAAATGAATTTAGCAAAAGTAATAGATAGCCCCTATATTGCAATATATGTTAAATATTAAGGATTCACATGAGAGTTCCTTAAAAGACGCATTAAATACATTACAATAACAGGTAAACTAACCACTTTAATCCATTTGACATCCAGCCAAGTTGCTAAAAGTCTTAGAGCAACACGATACCGAGAATCATATCCCTTTACAGATTGAGAAGCCTTTTTGTTTTCTTCGTTGGTGCCAAGTAGGCATGCAGAAAGAAGCTCATACAAGACAGTCACTTTGCGAGGGCAACTAAGTGATTCTGCACTTTCGATATGTTTTTCATAAGTATGGCTTTTACACGTATCTTTCGGCTGTTCTTTCACAGATTTGTGAAGATTCACTCTCTCTGTGGCTTCTTCACACAGAGATTCTGCAGAGTTAGAGTACCTTTCACTGCATAAAAGTTCATCTTCCAACTTTTCACCATAATTAACAATAGTTGCATCACGTGCCTCCATGCTAGATACCATGGTATCAACAAGCTTTGACAGAGCAAGTTCTTTAGCAGCAACCTCTGAAGTTAAGGCTCTTCCATCACAAAGTAACTTTAAAAACTGTTTATACCATGAAGACCGAGTGACTACCATAGTATATCATGCTATCTTAAATTAAAAAATGGTCAATGAGAAGCTCACAAAAGTAAAGGGGTATTTTCAGCTTCGATAATAATTTTCCACGTATCATATAACATCTTAAATTCTTAATCTGAATAACAGTGATTTAAAATGAACATAAATAAAAGAACTTAATGTGGTTGCCATTGTCCGTATATGATTCATTCTACTGTTTATGAGGAATAAAGAGGATGAAATGTCATGATAGAAGTTCTTACAAAGCAGCTATATAGATACTTATCATTTATAAAATGTTACTTCCTCCGTTTTCTACCTTAAGGACGGTGTACGGATGGAGCTGAAAGATGAGAATCACTATGTACTTAATGCCATTCCCCCTCCCCCATATTAATGTGGAATTCTGTAGTGGCAACAATGAGAACAAAACTCACTCCAGTCAGCATTCTTTTAAGTAGGGTCCTACACAGACATTGTTGATTTCCTGTTCCTAAAAATTTCAACAATATTCTTTCACTTTTCTTGTTAATTAGCAACCACTTGGTCAATATCTCTTCACTCAAACATTCACTGACTTAATGGTTGGAAATTCTCTCTCAATCTAGTTTCACAATATCCTGATCAGAACCCTTTTTCACACCAAATTTACACTTCAAATAATTCAATTTACTTCGACCCAGCCTTACACCTCCAATGTGTAACTCTTGTCTACATAATTCTGTCTCATCATTAACTACTACTCTAAATTCATCAACTGAAACAATATCACCTGCAAATAAAATATACCATGGAAAATCATCTTGCACAAAATTTGCTAAAATAATCGTGAATCTGCAACTAGTGCAGTTGTTTGTTACAATACAATCTTAAATGAAATATTCTCAAACACACTACTGCATCACCCCCAACATAAGTCCTCGTCACCACCACTCATCCTTGGTGGTGTCGGTATATATAGTGATACAACTCTCTTTATCAATGCCCAGCAAAGTACCACCCTGGGTACATTGCCATAACTATTCTCAATAGCAAAGTGTAAATTCTTGATCCTTACACATTATAACTCCATAAGTTTATCGCTTGATTGCTTTTATACCAAATGGCTCATGCATAAACCCAAAATGGACGCCATCATGACTTCTCAAACCATTTAACACATTACACTCATCAATTCATCATCATTGTCCATCACTTCTCCTAACATTATAGACGAGCTTAGCATTTTGATGTCAGTATTATTAATGTACAATTGTAATTCACAAATGCAGAAAAATTCACAATAAAAGAGCAAATAAGCAGCCAAAAAATTGTCATGATAGTAAGCATCATCAAATTTCGAGTTCGAATTTCAACTGATATTCCACTCAAAATCTACTAATCTGTTGCAATTTCTCAGATTCAACTAGCCCAAGCTCAACCCAAATTAATGGATGAGAGCTGGATCAATTAATCTCAGAGATAATCCAGAAATGAAAGGGAATCTCGAGAGAATTAATCAATGTAACAGTATTAACAATGGAGTAAGAGAGAGTTTAGAGAGAGAGAAGGGAATAAGATTTTCATTCAGCATAAAAAGTTATTAGAATAAAAATAACAGAAAGATTCTTTTTCTCAAATTCAGTGAACTTAATTAATTATTCCCTTCCTAACAAACTTTGCTGAGCTGTCATTCCCTCCCTTGGCTCTGCCAGCTCAGCTCTCATTGCTTCCTCATCAGAATTCAATGGAACAGTGCTCTCCAAGACTATGCTCATATTTAAGGTCGTATCATAATCATAGCAAAGAAATTACATTTATTTTTTTTAAAAATAAAAAATAAAAAAGAGTGCTACATACAGAACCAACGTGATGACTAATTTGTGATGAAGTTCCAGCAGTCTCCTTCAAACCATCCCATGCTTTATCATCAACCTTCACAAACCTTCCAAATATAGAAAGAAATCAACAACAATCACAAAACACAATCAAAACCCTAAAATAAATCAAATTATCAAAATTATAGGAGAGAGAATTACTTGAAAACAGGGAGAAGCAAGCCGGAATCCTCATGAATCCAAAGATAAGGACGATCGGAGTCGGAGGAAGTAGCGGCGGCGCTCATTCCAGCGCCGATAGGCTCGTCGTCGGGAGAAGGAAGAGTAGAGGTAAGACGACATTGATGAAGCTGAGATTGATTTAGGGCAAGTGCGAACAATGCAGAAGCTGCGTATTTTAGAGTTGAATCCAGAATTGAGACCTCCATTGTTGGAAATTTAAGCAAAGTTCGAGGTTCTGAGTAAAGGAAGTTGATGAAACCGCCATTGAAGAAGCTTGAGATACGAGTTGAGGTCGGTTATGGAGGGTTTGAGGAAATTGGAAATGCGCCATTTGTCGTTGTAAAGGGTTGGTTTTTGACACGGATTGAGTTTAAGCGCGGGAGATTGTGACAAAGCATTACAATGCTGCGTAAGTACGTATAGTATTAATGTATAGTATATTGGTATTGATGGCGAAATCGGCAATGCGTAAAAAAATAGTCTTGGAACAAGGCGATATAATTTTGGTCAGTGTTATTGGATCCAACATAACTAAACAGTTTGCCTTTTTTGCATGTCATATTTAAAAGGTTCCTCGTTTCTGGGTTGTCCCTGCTCATTAGTTGGCTGTGAATTAGGCTATTATTGGCGTTTTGTCCTTCATTCTACTTATATAAAAATAATAATTAAACAGCTTATGTATATGTATTTCAATTAAGATATACATTAAATACATACTATGGTCATGTGGATAAATAAACTAAGTGATTCTATAATAGTTTCCAATTGACTTGCTTAAAGTTAGCATCATCTAGTTCAATTGCATGAAATTACATAATTAAAGCACAACAGCAATGACAAATCAGTCCTCCAAGTTGTTGTAAGATAAGTACAAGCACTACTGCACCAGAAGAAAGTTTTTTTTTTTTTTTTTGAGAGAACACTAGAAGAAAGTTAGCAAGGGAAAACTTGCAGGAATATGATTGCATAATTTGGTACATCATAGAATATGTCATAGCTACTTCGTTCACTAAGGAAGACAAGTTGCTGAAACACTTTGGTATAGTACCTAAGAAATTATTCCAAGAAAGATAAAGGAAACGAAGGTATTCAAGCTAGTTCAACAGGGGTTTTCCCAAAGAATGAGTTGTTTTCATGCACTGAAGCAAGTAGAATTGACAATGTTTCTTCCGATCCTTGCCGGTAGGCTTCCTGAAAACTTGTTTCCCCTACCTAACATCATTGATGCTCGACAAAGTACGATACGAATCTGGAATTTCCACATGCCCGAATCAAAATTTATTGTTTGCAAAATTACCCCAAGCTAGGCATCAGTTCAAAAATGTCTTCAGCTAAAGGACCGGAAAATAGATTTTCTTGAAGATATATTTGTCCTGCGTTGGTAGACCAATTTGGGAACTGAACTTCAAAATCATTCCAGCTCAATTTGATGTATGAGAGGTTTGGAAAAACTAGTCCATGCAGCAACCTTCCCACATTCGTTATTGGATGGATCACATAAGTCAGCTGAGAAGCAAATCAGAGAACTGGTAGCAGGGATTGGATATATTGAAGAACAACGGCGAGAGAATATTGGCTCTGAAGCCATACAGGAAGTCAGGAACAGAACATACAAAAAAAATTCAATGTCCATATCTAGATGACAGGGTTTTGTGTGTGTTTTTTTTTTTTTTTTTTTTTTTTTTATGGGATCAAATGAACTTCTGCTGGAATTCCCTACCACTTCAAGATGCAACTTGAATAACTCTGAGAGTTGGCCAGGCTATCTGGAATGGAGTTATTCAGCTTCTTTCAGAAAGGTATAATATTTCTAAGGACGACAAGTTTCCTACCAAATAAGGTATTGAACCCCTCAGAGTTCTCGAACAATTGAGTTTTCTGTGACAAATTTCCTATGGAAAATGGGATAGAACCTCTCACAGAATGCTTTCAAGGACATGTCTATAGATGTAATGTTAATTTCAAAGGTAGGATGGAATTCTCAAGGCCATACAGGTTCGCTGGGTGCAGTCCAATCTCTAAGAATCTAATTGATGAGGTAGAGCATATTGGCATTGAGACCTTGTAAGCATCAATTTAGCTGGAAAAGATTGAATTTCTGAGGTCTGGTAGAATCTCATCAAAAGAGCCTAAAGCTTGTTAACAGAAAAAAAACGAACATCAATCACAATCAAGAGGGCAATAAAAATATTAAAATACAATCAGCCTTCTCTATAGTTTGCAGCACACACTTCTGTAGCACACAATAACTAAACGAGTAAATTCAAACTAGCCAATAACATAATAGCTATATCCAAAAAAAAAAAAAAAAAAAAAAAAAAAAAAAAAAAAAAAAAAAAAAAAAAAAACACAAAACTTAATAGCTCTATAATTGTCAACAGGAAATTCAAAACCAAAACGGCAGCAACAAAGTCACCAAAAATTCTGTAATGACTGACTAAACAAAAAAAGCACGACAACATACAAGTTTTTATTCGGTCAACGAACTTCATGGAAATCAATTCCATCATCCAAAGTGTAATCAATAAGATATGCCATCTCAGTACCTCCTCGGTGGCATGCGATCCATCATTCTTCCTGAAGGGCATTCATAAGACATATGTCCTCGACCACCACAGGTGTGACAGATAACCATAGCTGGACCGCCCATGCAATCTCTGCTCATATGTCCCATCTGGCCACAACTCCTGCAGATGATATCACGATAACCCCCTCCTCCTCCCATGGGATATCCTCCACTGCCTCCTCCAAAACCACCATAACGACCTCCACCATGTCCACCACCACCTCCTCCAAAACCACCATAACGACCTCCACCACCACCACCACCACTGCCCCGGTCATTAAGAACATCAGCTTTCGGACATTGCCTGGCCACGTGGCCAGAGACATTGCACAAGTTACAAACGGGCTCATCAGAGCAGTCACGAGCAAGGTGTCCTGTCTTCCTGCAATTCTTGCATGCCTTATCATTTGTGCATTCCGCAGCAACATGGCCTTGCTTGAAGCAATTGTTACACAGTCTCAAGTCACCGGGTGGGAGTTCAGGATTCGGGCATTCTCTGGCACGGTGCCCAGCTTTGCCACATGCATGGCAGATGCCCTCATTTGAGCAGTTACTGGCCATATGCCCAGGCTCACGACAGTTCCAGCAAAGAGATTTTGTGGTACACTCAGCAGCAATATGCCTGCATTTATATAGGTATTCACATTATTAGTCTTTTCAGATCATCTATTCTGCTAATCAGTTTCACAAGTTAGGCATGCAGAAGGAAGCATAAAAAAGGCATAGATTCTAACTGAATAAAATAATTCATACCCAGGGAGGCCGCAGTTGTTGCAAACAGCAACGTTTGTACATTCTCTAGCAAAGTGACCAGGCTGTTTGCAGTTGTTACAGACATTGCTTTGGCTGCAATATATCCAATAGAAGTTAGCATCAAATGAAAAGATCCGACTAATTATAAACAGAAACTGCCAAACATATGCCACACATAGACTGCTAGTGTTAGGGGAGAGGCTATTCTATTGACGTGTAAGATATCTGAAAATTTAAAACAATAATTAACCTAACCCAAATGTATTGAAAATGAAGTTATCTGAAAGAAAATGAAGACTGCAGGTTGAATAATACAGATAATAAGATAAATCCAGCAGCTAAAAACCCCCAAATATAGGTCCCATCTTAACCGTAAGACATAAAACATTATCAGCTTATCACAACATAATTTCTCATGATACTTTAAATCACACACAACAGTTCCTTTTATAGTAACTAGCTTCATTATTCCCAGGTCCCAACTTAGCAAAACAACTGTGATCATTTCCAAAATTGACATATATTCTCAACCTTTATCTGTACAAATCAGAGAGTTGTGCAAGCTAGAAAGGAAAAGAAGACAATATATTGTACACCAAGCGTAAATAATTTTTTCTCTCTTATTAATGATGGTTCTGAAGGTATATACAACATTGCCCGATAGGGCTTTAGGGCCTAATTAATATAGCTGAAGAATGAACTGATGGAGTTTATAAAGAACAAAAAGAACTTACGAAAGTGACTCTCAACCACTAAAGCTAGCACGAAACCAGCACTAGTAAAATATTGAATAGAAAAGAAATTAGAAATGGGATAATATATTGTAGAGAAGCCAAAGTATGAAGCCATTGTGAACCATTAAAGGCAAGACACAACTTGCTCAGGTTCCCAGAACTCCAGTATACAAACTGTAAATTATCAGCAGTATGTCTCAAGAATTCATTATGCTGCTGAACAAATACCAAGTTTTGCCTACAAGTTCAGAGGAGCTTAATCGGACATTTCAAACCCTCAAGCACTGGCACTGGGTAATATAACCAGGAAAAGGATAGTACAAATTTTAAAACCACACACACATCATCTACCATACATGATAATTTCAGGAATACATGGTTCCTTTTGGCAATACAGCTTAGTGTAATTGCTCTTGAAACTCTGATCAGTTCATTAATCATCTCATTTAGCAACTACTTTCCTTTCTTTTCTCCCCCTCCCCCAAATTTATGCAACTTTTATTCTTTTCCAACTACACTACCCAACAAACAGTTGAAGAGCATTGTTAAAATCAAACCACCTGAAACCCCGACGTGCATCTCTCCTATATGGAGCATCACGAAAAGAAGGGCGTTGAGATCGCATTCTACGATCTCGAGGACTCCTGCTTCTGCTACGGCTACGGCTACGGCTTTGACTCCTGCTGCGCGAACTCATCTTCAATTCCTCTCTTCCCCTTTCTAAACAAACTGATCTTCAAACGCCAACACTCAACTCCAACCAGCATCCGAAGCTCCCCTGCCAAAAACCATCCCCATCAATCCACTGATTGTCCATAACCAAATTCCAATGCTACATATAAGTCCCTATCCAACAAAAACCAACTACAGCACACATAGAGTTCAACAATCCACACCACACCTTGTTAGTTATAACAAAAACCTCAACAACAACAACAACAACACACCCCAAAAAATTCAAGCGCCACAAGAAAAACTACAGAGTTTAGGAGAACTCCCCCACAAATCAGTGCTTTTTACCATCTTCCTTCCAAACTCAGATACAGAATAGACCCATTCAACTCACTGCATCTACAGAAGGCTGAGAGTTATCACTACGAAAAGGTGAAATAGAAGGATCATAGACTACACCGAAGATTAACAATATTGTTACAAGCAACTTAATTTGGACACTCCTCCCTCAGACATCTGGGTTCTCCACAGATAAAATTATACACCCATCCGCAAATACACCAGAGCCTCACTGAAGCTTAGTGTGACATACGTCCACAAGAAATACTCGAGAACACCAGATGGCAGATTGGCAGATATGTCTTCTATTTCAATTATCATTAAACTTTAAAAACATACCATTGATTTGCAAAACAGTTAAACAACATATGGCGTGACCGCATTAAAACACCAATACACGAGATTTTCAACAGAAATTAAGGAAATGAGACGACCAAGCAGCATTTTAAATACCATTACCATCAAGAACATAATTTTCAAATCCCACCACTGCTCTACATCATACAGTATCATTTAAAACTCATCAATACAAGCTCCGGAGGCAGCGGAATGTAACTAATTAGCCATGACGACAGAGATAATTAAACATAAATAATGCAGAGCAGCACAAGATAATGCATTCCCCTTTTTTTTTTTTTTTTTTTTTTTTTGTGAAACCAGATAATGCATTGCTTCATTGACATATATATGAGCTGAAAGAATGAGATTTTGTAGACTACACGCAAAATTTAACATCACACAGAAACTAAATTAGAAGATGAAAAATTTACCAATAACATTCATTTAAATAGCGAGAAACAAACTAACGAAAAACAGAATTTCTACCACAAATTTTGAGATAAATCCATAAAATTAGTTAAGTTCATAAAATTTTGAAGAAATTAGGAACAAAATTGGCAATACTATTCATAATCAATTGATCCAAAACCCTAAATCTAACCGCCAACCTATTACTAATAATCAAACACAGAAAAAAGGATGATAGCAATATAAATAAGTAAGGAAAATACTTGAATCTACAACAAATATAAACCCTAAATCCAGAAAATTAATGGATCTATGAATTATGAAAAACAAAAACATGAATATAATCAGAGCTTCGAATACTAATTCATCGAATCAAAATAGAGAGATAAAGAACGAGCGAGAGAATACCAATCGGAAAAAGCTCAGTACAATCGCGAGCTTCGAAGCTATGGCGGAAACAAATTTTCGATTGAGGATTTACGAAATCCGAAAAATGGAGAGAAAGTATGTGTTGGAGTCTTTTATGAGTTTTATCCGAACTCTTAACTAAAAATTAACGAATTTCCAATTTTATCCTTGAGTCGTGTCAAAAATAAAATAAAAATAAAATTGTCTTTTTTTATGTGCTCGATTCATTTTATGTGAACTTAACTTATTACACTTAATTTGGACCAACTAATCTTGTTTAACTGGGTTAAAAAAAGTTATCAAACCATACTCAAAAATAAACTTTTGTAATTATTTACTTCATGTATCTAAGAATAATTGATTCTAATGATACTTAACGATGAGTATTTTACTAATAAAGGGCTATACCAATAACTTGTTTCAAAAAAAATATATATATACAAATAACTAAGCTTAACTTTGGTTTGTTTTTACTTTTACAGTATTAACCAAAAATTGAATGGAGTTTCTTTGTAGATCAAATTCTTCATTTTTCTTTTTTATTTTTATTTTTTTTTTAATATGTTCACACAATCGATTTGCCAAAAGATTTAATTTACTTTGTAAATCACTATCTAGCTAATGATTAATGAACCACCAACACAATTAAAAAAAAATCAATTTATTCACAACGACATAACGTTATTTTTTTTCTTCTTTTGTTCACTTAATAAACTAATAACTCGAGATATTATCCGAACCTAAAAAGTAAAGTAGTTTGAACTAATTCTCTATTAGGCTCAAATTGTTGGGCTAAATATTAAGCTTAAATTGTTGGGCTTCAAACTTCCCGTATGATACATGCCCTACCCATCACTCTTTCTTCCTCTTTCTCCACTTCCCAAGCTCCTTTTACCCTAACAAAACCTTCTCCCTCTTTATCTCCATTTTCGCAAGCAGCAACAGCAGAAGCAGCTTGAAAAGGTACAAACTCAAATTTCTAGTTCACTTTAATTTCACCTCTTTATATATTTATTTAATTTTTTGATTTAATTTAGCTAATTTCACCTTACTTAGGAAGAAACTTAAGCTTAAAATCAAACATAGAGGATGAAATTTTTAATTTTATTAATTTTTCAGCAAATTAAGCTCGATTAATCAATGGGTTATTCAAAGAAATTTAATTTCTGCAAAAATTTAGTCTTGCGATTTATATAATCGAAACTGAAGGACTATATAATTGATAAATATTACGAGTTCATAATTTTTGAATAACATACTTATTTATTGAATTGTTTGTGGGTAGGGTATAAAGATGGGGAAGAAGAAGTTTTTTGATAAGAAAAAATCAGCAACCTTTCAGCTTCTTTCACGGGATTCTTCTGATCCTATATATGTTGAGGAGCCGGAAAATGACCGGGTTTTTGTTCGTGTCGATAATAATCGGGTTAAGATTAATGGGTTAGATGAGGAGCATGATGATGAGGATTACTCGAACGATCCGGAGTCAATTTATGCTGATGCCCCTGAGGATGGGGGTTATGAAGGGTTTAGGGGTTCAGGTACATTACCTGATCATGTAAGGAGGGAGATATTGGAGCTTGGATTCCCTGATGATGGTTATAATTATCTTAATCATTTAAGGGAGATTCGGAATACCGGTGGTGGCTCATCGTATTATGAAAATCCGAAGGCTGAACTTCATCAACTGCCTAATGATGTTAAGGTGATTCTTGCTATGTCTTTATTAGATGATATTGCAGTCGTTTGCTTTTGCAATTTGGTTTGAAGTGTTATTTAGTTCAGAATTAGTTAGTAAGTTTAGTATTATTTAACATGTTTTGAAGAATGGTCATATTTCATAGAATAATAATGACCTATGTTTCTATTATGAAATTTTAGAACAATGTGATAATTACTTATGGAACTATGGAAGGATTGTACGAAGTATGTTTTAAGCAAGTTTATTATTTAACATGTTTTGAAAAATGGTCACATTTCTTAGAATAAAAATGACCTATGTTTGTTTTATGAAATTTTAGAACTTTGTCATTTTAAAATTCCAATATGTTAACCTAGAAATTCTTAATTGTAAACAACTACTGCCTCGGTTCCTTTTTTATTGTGTTATTTGAAATCTTTATAGATTGCAAGATTTGCAACATACATGGAACTTAATACTCTCTTGATATATGTGTGGTCTTGCTTGTTTTATCTTCATGTATAGTTTCACAATATCAATATTTATAATTCGTTGTGATACACTAATACGTATTTGAAGATACTTATGTTTGAATGTGTACATTGGTTATTGTGCTAAAAGTGAAATAGGAGTCAGAGTATTATTTTGGATATGAGTAGTCATTTTTCTTGTTTTGTCATGGTCTTTTTAACTTATGTTTATTTTTTGGGACTTGCTGGTCAACACTTTGGGGGTATGTACTAATTTTAGCTAGTAATTACTATGATCTCAGGCATATGATGCTTCAAGAGTACGGATAAAGGAGGCAAGTGAAATTACAAGTCCTAAAACATTGTATAATGTCGCTGAGAAAACTGTTACTGTGAAAGTGCAAAAAGCAGTAGATCCAGAAATTGCTAATTTACTTGAAGACAATGAATCAGAATTTGGTTCTGATATTGATGAATTGGAGGAGGATTTTGTTGTTCTTGCAAATCATTCAGAGGAAACAGGAGATGTGTATGAAGAGGAGAGTTTGTCTTCGATTAGTAATCCTCGCGCTGAAGTTCAAACTAGAGTAGCCAATAACTCCATGGTGGAGTTGGTTCGAAGTGTTACTGAAGATACTAGACCTCAGCGTTTGCTTGACCAACAGTTTGATATTGTAAGATCTTCTCTCTGAAGCTAGTGCTCTTTTGGTATCTACCTATTATTTCTGAGACACAATTCTGACTAATAGGGTGTTTAGTTCTCAAAATAATACTATGCTTCTGACAACAATACTTAATGGTTCTTCTTTTAAAATTTATAGTGTGCAAGGCTTGTTTATCTTGTACATCCTCTATAGCTTGCTAATAGTATTTTCCTTTGTGGTCTTTTGGCAGCTTGAACAACAAGAATATGGGTCAGATAGTGATGATGATTATAAAAATTATGTAGAAGAAGAAGATATATCGCTTGCAGAAAAGCTCAATAGTGTTCTCAAAGACCGTGTGGATGATGATTTAGAATTTGATGGAAATTACACAGCTCCGGTTGAAATACTTCGCCGTTGTGCCGAATATGCCGAGAAATATGAGAATGAGGATGGAAATGATAAAGAAGTGGTAATTGTGGAAGAAAGTAGTGATGAGTCAGAAATTTGGGATTGTGAGACCATTGTCTCTACATACTCGAATCTTGACAATCACCCAGGGAGAATTGGAGCTCCTGGAAGAAATCGGAAGAAAATACTGGCTGAGACGTTTTCCGGGGCGCTGAAAAGTGGTTCTGACAAGATTATTACTCTTGGAGGAAAGGCGAAACTTCCTGTTGATTACTTGCCTCATGGAAAGAAGGAACCTAAAGAGACAGCCAAAGTAGTTGCCAAAGTAGTTGCCAAACCAGAGGTGCCAAAAAGAAAACCACATGGTCAGGAGACCAAGGAGGAGAAAAAAGAAAGAAAGGTACTCATTTGGTAGAAAAATATATTCACTGTTAGACAGTTGTTAATTGTTTTGTACACACCCTAGTCGTGAGGTTTCCACATAGATGAAAATCCAAGTTAGAATTTAGTGCATATGCTTGTTAAGAATCCTGTCCTAATTAATTTAAGGTATTATGCCTTGTAGTCTGGTAAAGTTCAATCATGTTTTACTTTTATTCCCCTACCCTGAAAAAAAAGTACTAGATTTGTACTTAACAGGGCTAAACTGCAAATGTTTATGTGTAGGCTGCTGTAAAGGAGGAAAAGCGAGAGGCTAGACGTTTGAAGAAAGATTTGAAGGAACTGTACCGTGATGAAGCCAAACTTGCTCAGAAAGTTGCTGCTGTTACTGGCCCATCATCCATACATCTTATGTAGGTATGTTATTGGTTATCCTCTCACGTACTCCCAAGCACCTTTTTTTTAGCCACTTTTAAATGCTTTCTTTTCATAATCATTGTCCACCCCCTCCCCCTCCTTCACACTCTCTCTCTCTCTCTTCCTAGAAGCATAAAACATGATTTTGCCTTTATGATGTAGAGAATTAGCATTTTGAAATTCCCCTTATAAGCTCCTCACATTAAAAATAAATAAAAAATGTTAAGGCAAGACATAACTCTGGGCAAAGGTTGTATTAGTTAGAAGAAACTTTAATTAGCGACTTTAATGCACTTGTCTTCCAAGAATGATTGGAAAATCAAGAGGGGTTTCCTTGGGATTTGATAGTGTAATGGAATAAATTTTAATTCACACCTACAGCCTACAGATTTATTGAGTAATAACTGCATATGGGTTTTAGCTGGGATAATACAAGCAATATATGGATCCACGATCTTGCTGTCAAGAATTTTTGGACTTAATTTTTTAGACTTGGCACAGAAATCTCTGGGTTGTTTTAAGCAATCATGTTTCACATCACTAATTATGGCTATTAGAAAGGGTGTTTGCTTTAAAGGTCAATCATACTTGTGATAATTCCTTTTGATGACTAATTTTTGGCTTGATATTACACATCAATCCATCTTGTCATTAGAATAAAATCCTATGACCGACTTATATGCTGAGCTAATACTTGCTTAGTTGCTTATGCTTTTTCATACCACATGCCGCTTTCTCATTCAGTCATGCTATTTTATGAATTTATTTGTCTTTTACAAATTTAATAGCATAGTTACAATATATCCCACTAATTGCCAAATGCTGGAAGCTTAAAACAATGTGGTTATCTAAAGCTGTAATATGTTCATCAGGTAACACGACATCCTTGTTCAAATATGTTTGAGGTATGCAGTTCCTTTGTTTCCTTGCCTCAAATGAACGTTTGGAAGAGTATTGCGTACATTTTGGTGATACATGTTGGAGTGGAGAAGCTAAATTGTATCTGATTTGCTTCAGAGATTTTGTTAATCTAGGTCAAATACTTCAGACTTTAAGATATTGTTGTATGTGAATAGTTTAATTACACACTTAAATGACTTGATATATGTTTCATTATGGCTGACAAAAGGAATGAAATTTCTTGGAATTGG